ATTCAAAGTGTGGTCTTACTAAGGCATTATAAAGCAATATTAAGATTTTTCACAATAATACCACTTTATAATGCCTTAGTAAGACCACACTTTGAATACTGTATCCAGTTTCTTCATGCCATTTGTATGTTGCTGTTTCTAAAGATTTTCTGATCTTTATTAATACAGGGAGAGAATCAAGATCTAGTACCACTTTACAAAGCCTTAAAAAGACCACAAGAGTAACTACTGATCTAAAATTATACTTAGGGTGTTGGCTAAGGCTTAGCACCTGGCAGACACTGGAGGAGGGGGGAGTTGTATGAAGCAGCAGGATAAGCACAGAAAGCATTAGGACTTTAAGATGCACCACGGACAATGATCATGACCAAATAGTCATCCTCCGATTTAGCCAGGGCCTTTGCTGTAGAATCCAGGAATTGCTGAGAAAAATCACAGGGGGGGAAAGCATGCAAGACCCCACTGTTTTCTTTGTCTTTGTTGCCTCCTACTGGGAGGCTTATCACTCCAGCTGCCTGCTTTTGTTTAAGGTAGGACACCAGGTTTCTTAATGGCCGCTGGGTAGAGGTGGTATTAGCTTCACCAGCCCCAGATGAGGCACGGTTGTCTGTGGTACCAGGCACAGCAAGGAGAATAGCATATCCATTGGGTCCTGCTACTTTGATACGGCGGTTAACTTCATCCAACTTGGGCTGGTCCAAACGAAGACGCTGTGTGATCTTTAGTTGGGCCACTTTGCCACCAGATGTTCCTTCCACCAGCAGATTGCTAGCTACGCTGAGGTCACCTTGTAGTAGGTGCATGTTTGATGGAAAGTTGCTGTTCTTCAACAGAAGCATTCCTTGCCAGGCTAGGCAGAGTTTGGTAGATAATCCCGACTTTGAGGTTCCATCCTGCTGTTGCTGCTTTTGGGGTGGCTTCAGCCGAGATCCACTGCTACTGTTCCCTTCAGAAGTATGTTCATCCTTTTTAGCTGGATTCTTGCACTCTTGGATGGCAGTTGATACAAGTGTGCGGTGTTTCCTTTCTTTTTCCATCAAACTCTTATGTTCCCGCTTCTCATTCTGCCCTCTCTCCAAACTCCCCTTACGTGGCTCTCTGACTGGTGAAGGACGATCCAACAAGAGTAGGCGAGAAGAGGGCCGATCAGTATCAGTGTTATAGCGGTCTCTGATTAAGCCTGTTTCAGGGCTACGATCTTGAGGCGATGCTACAGCAGGGCAGTGACGCTTACGAGATGAAGATGAACGTTCACTATCTGGTGATCGGTCCAAATGTCGACCCCCATCCTCCACTAGCCTTCGCTTCCTAGGTGGGTCTCTACTACTACCAAGCTCTCTTTCCCCACGAGTTCTTTCTAGAGACCAACCATCTCGACGCCGTTCCAGACTTTCAAGTGCATCATACACAGATGCTCGGTTGCCTCGGTCCCGAACTGGAGGTGGAGGAGGCACCCAGTCTGGTTCAGCATATAAGTCTCTATCACGGTCACCATAGAGCAGTGGTGATGTTCTGTCCCGAGCACCTCGGAGTGGATCTGGTGGGGCTCCACGATGCGCTCCAAAAGCTGATGTTTCTGCTACCAGTTCATAGTGAGCAGGGGGTGGAAGTTGCAATGGCTGCAAATAGGGCTGTTGATACCGATGCTCAGTGTCAGCAAAGTCCACACGCAGGCGACGGTCTGGCCCACCCAAAGGAAAGCCACGCATGTGGGTACAAGCAGCTTGTGCAGCATCCAAACTCTCGTACTGAATGTAGGCCCATGAGTCACCTTTACGATAATCAATGGTACGAATGGTACCAAAGCGATCAAACTCCCTGGCAAGAGCAGCCAAAGGTACCCAGGGTCCCAGACCACCCACCCAGAGTCTCGTGGTGGGGGTTGCTTTACCATAGCCAATTTTAATAGGATTGCGCAACAGCACTTTACCAGACATGGCAAGCTTAGCCCGGTGGGCCATATCCAAGTTCTCAAACTTAAGAAATCCATATGTACTAGTTTGCCCCCGGGATGGCCTCTTAATATCCACTTCGGTGATAACCCCAAAGCGATCAAAAGCCCTACGAAGGTCTGAGTCTGTAACAGATATATCCAAATTACCCAGAAACAGGGTACGATTAGCTCTCTGGTCATCTTCAGGACTGATCTCTTCTTCAGTGGCCGTTCCTGTACCAACCCCACGAAATGCAGCGGCCGCCACTCCAGCAACTCGATCCAGACTGTACGTGGGCCTCACCCGATCATAGAAGCTGCTGTAGTCTCGTTCTCTTTCCAGTTCCCGGGGCAGAGGCGGTGGGGGCAAACGACCAAGGGCAAGCTGCTGCAATCGGAAGTCTCTGTACCCTAAGCCTGCTCCTCCGCCAACAGGAGAGAGGGCCCTCTGGGTGGCCCCAGTGGCAGGGTGCCTGATAGTGGCAGGAGATGCCCCCGCCACCCCCACTGCTGAGGCCCCATAGGAAGACTCCTTGTCCAAAAGCGCTGGGGAGCGACTGCCGCGTCGCCGGCTGCTTCCCCCTCCGCTGCTGCCCCCTACATAAACGGCCTCGATCTTCAGCGGCCGATGGTAGAGGACCAAGCGGCCGCGAGCATGCTTAGCAGCCCGCGCATCCTCAGGGCGGCGAAAATTGACAAAGGCCACCCGCTCGTCGCCGGATCCGGTGCCCGGGGGCAGGCGGCTGATCTTGACGCTGACGTCTCCGAAGCGCTTGAACTCGTGGAAGAGACCATCTTCGATCGCCTCGTCGCTCAGCGCCGAGCCCAGCTCGCTGATCTTCAGCGTCTTGTACTCACTGCTGCCGGCGGAGTCGGCGGGGGGCGCGCGGGAATCGACGCCGCGGCCGCTGCTACCACGGGAGGACGAGGAAGACTCCGCGTTTTTGCTGTTGTTGCTCCCGCCGTAGCCGTGGCGGCCGCTGCCGCTCCCAGAGCCTCCCACCGCGGCCGATTCATATTCACGGCTACTGGCCCGGTTCGCTTTTTCCAGATGAAGGCTCCGCCGACTACTGCCGCCACCGCCCTCGCCCGAGCCACCGCCCGCAGATTTCCCACCGCCGTTGCTGGGCTTCTTACTGCTCCGCTCGGCCCGCGCCGAAGAAGAATCCTCGCCACCGCGGGACCGTTTGGCCTTGGCAGGCGAGCGCTCCTTGCCCTTCATGGCGGCAAGCGCCAACAAGAGAGAATCGCGCGCGGAGTATCGCGCCTCACGCACCCGCCGCCATCTTGGAACCTCCGACAGGCTGGAACTCCGCCCACTGGGCAGGCATTGGACAGTTTAATCGGAGCCCATCGTGTTCATTGCACAAAGGACCTGTCGGTGAAGAAAAGCGTAGAATCTGAAGCGCTCCAAGCACCGGAAACAGAAATCTCGCCTTCCTACGCTACTTTCACTAGGCCGTTGGATGAACGGCCAATCACTCATCGATTTCTTGAGCGGTAATGGCCCGAACTGAAAGAACTTCCACCCCATTGGCTGAAGCAAGAATCCCAACTCTTTGTTTTCCCACCCCCTCCACGCTCTTATTGACGGTTTTTGTGGAAGGCCTCAGTTTCCCCGCCGGCCTGAACCCGCGCAAAAGTGTTTAGACCACGTGGGGCCTTTGGGTCTGACAGACGAACGAGACGGCCGGGGCGGCGGGGTTGTTAGTTTTTTTGTTGTTGTTGGGACCTGCAGTGGACGCAGCTTCGAGGGTTTTTTTTAGCTTAGGCGGGAAAAGACTTGTCGAATAGATATCGTTTCGCCTCTCTTTTTCTCTACAGCGAGCGCGGGCGTGTGTTCGTCTGGGCGGGAAGCGTTTCTCAGCCTCAGCAATTTTAAGATGTGTGGACTTCAACTCCCAGAATTCCCCTCCCGCCAGCCAGGTCATTTCTCATCCAAGTGCTGGCGACGAAATTTTGAAAGTTGGTTGGTGAGGCTGAAAAAAATGGGCTTAGCGGGTCACGGAAAGGATCCGACTTTCCCTTCTCGCATCTCGGAACCTCGTCTCCCCCCCCCCCCCAAAAAAAAGCCAAGCGCTTTTACCTGGAATCCATTCAAATTAGTTTCCCGAGGCCGCCGCCTCGCTAAGCTACTCTGGGGGTTTACAAAGGGTTAAAAACACCAGGCTATAAAACAGGAGAAATATAAAACGCATGGAAAATAGAAAGCACCGCGCTGGGGATAAAATCCAGCCATTCATCTAAGGTGGTTTCCTGAAAGAATTGGATCTTCCGAAGCACGGGCCGAGCCATTCGGTTTGCTGTTCTCGGAAATCTCGTTCATTAAATCCATAAATCCTAATAAATGGCCGTACTATTCTTCCTATATCCTTAGGGGAATAGGATACATGACCTAGAAATTAATTTATCCGTACAATTGCCTTGCAAAAATTAATTATGATTTTAGAACACAAAAACAACAGAGGGCTAAACCTCAGAACTGTCTTTGTTAGTTTGCTTTATTTAGAACTGCACAAAATGTTGCCGTTATATACCGTAATCACGTTTCAAAGTTATTTTAAATGAGCAAATGTGTAAGCTACTGCAGTACTTGCAACTTTTAAAGAAACGTTGCTGAAAATTGAAAGTAGGGAAGTGAAAGCCAGTTTGGTTGAAGTAGTTAGACTTACTCTGCTAGAAACAGAAACTGCAAGTTCTACTTCTGCTTTAAGCACAAATCCAGTTGTTAATCATTGATTAATCCCCAGATAAAAAGCAAAGGGAAACTTGTGCTGAAAGAATTGGGGGACTTGTCCATGTAGTTTCCAGGAGTCTAGACTGACTCAAAACACAAAATGGAAGTAATGCAGGAGATGCAAAGCACTCTGCTTTGATGTTATTTTTACCCTCTTTAATGCGACTACTGGAACAATTTTTTTGGCAGACATATATTCATGATTTTAACAAGTTAGTTGTTTGTAATTGGGATAACTACTAGCTAGAATATCTTTCTCAAGATAAAGTTTCCAGTGCAGATTATGGCCTGCCAGCCATTTCTCTTGTTTACTTGTCCCCGAAGAAATCACTTCTGCTTACTTGAGTAACAAAATGAGGGAAGGAGAAAATTGGGGCCAACTAGCTTATTTTTCCACTATCATGCAGTGATTCTGAGTAAACAGGATTGAAGGTTACTCCTCCAAGAAACCTTCCTTCCAAATTATGCTGCTGTGCCCAAGATTCATATTGTGTTGGCCAAGAAAAGATTCATGGCAAGTGGACTGGTAGAGAAGCATACAGAGGCAATTACCAGTCTTAAAGCAGTATTGGGAAACAAATTACTCCTCTAATTTTGCTAAGTAAAGAAGCAATCTTCAACACTATCATTGCAAAGATATGGCTTCCTTCCTGCTTCCTAGTTACTTTATTCTATCAATAATTAAAAAATATTTTAAAGTGTGGATGTTATATCAAACATGCACTAAAAATGAAATCTCAGATATATCTCAATGAATTCATAAAAAGTTAAAATGGTATCAACAGATCTGAAATTATTCATACAAATGTATTTAGGGTGTACTGGTCTCACCAACAAAAATATTTGAAGGATGGATATCAGATTTTCTCTGTGTAGGTATAAAATTGAAGGTTCCTTGATCATGATCATGTGATTATTTGATATCTTTTGGAGTATAGGAGTTAATTAGTGTACATAAGTAGGTTTATGTAGGTTAAATGTTTAATTACTATAGATTTTAATGAATTATATACCAAAGCTTTGGAATCTATTTATCAGGAATGATAGTTGTACTGAACATGGGAAGTGGTAAAAAGAAACATACCAAAAATTGAAAAAATATTCTTTCAACTATTAAGAAATGGTTTTCAGAAATGTTGATATATATATTTTGGAAAAAGTAATTAATCTATTAAAGTAATTTTCTATTAATCAAAGGATGGTGTTTTAAAATCAGCTGTGGAAGACTTACTTTATACTTTATATAGAAACTTTATATAGAAAGTCTAAGAGAAGCTAAACTAAGAGAAGAAGTAATTTTCCTTAGTAATTGTGTGAAGGCTTGTCATACTTTCATTGTAGACATTTACTGGTAGACATTTACTTAATTTTTCTGTACTGTTTTTATACACATAAATAAAGCCGTTTTACTTAAATAGGCATTTACTAATAGTCTATATTTTAAGTGGGGTTTGGGTGAGGGTTTTGTGTATGTGTGTGCCTGAGTTTATGACTCCTAGTGATTGCCTGGATTATTTCCTACAGTTTTCCAAGATTTGTCAGAAGTAATTTGTCATTGTCTCCTTCCTAGAATTGAAAGACAGTGACTGGCCCAAGACCACCTGGCTGGATTTTGTACCTAAGATGGCAATAGAACTCATGGTCTCCTGGTTTCTATCTTGATGTATTAGCCACCCCTGTACACCAAACTTTCTCTTTTAGTTTCATTAGTCTTTATTATTTTATTTATTAATTATTATTTAATATTTGCCAACTGTGCATCTCTTGTTTCAGTGATGTGAACAGAGTTAGCAGAAAAGATTGATTTCTGGGCATGGTTGATATAGTTGCTAAGCTGGACTTCTTGTTGAGATATCATGGCTCTGCTTCCCCTTTGGGGGAGATTTTTGCCTCCTCTTGCCACCCAGCTGAATTAGAGATTGTGTAAGTGAAATACTAATTAGCAGCTTTGCAGCTTCTCCTTAGTAGCTAAATCAATTTTTTTTAAAAATTATTTCCATTTCTAAGCAAGGAGATTGTTAAGTGAGTTACATGGATTTTACGACCTTTTTTACCATGATTCTTAAGCAAATTACTGCTGAATCACACAGTCACTAAGTGAATCCAGTTGCTCCCATTGGGGAGGTCACAAATGGTGCTCCTGGGATACCACAATCATCATAAATACACACCAGTTGCCAAGTACCTAAATTTTGATGGGGATGCTCTAATGATTGTAAGTACGAAGTCTGGTCATAAATCACTTTTTCAGTGCCACTGTAACTTTGAATGATCGCTAAATGAAAAGTTTTAAGTTAAGGACACCTATATTTTGTCCATTTCCACCTTTTAGGCCTGGCAAGGTGCATGCTATATGTCAGGTTAGTGGGTTTTCTCCTTTTATATTTTCTATACCTTATATACGTGGTGGCTCAGTGGCTAAGACGCTGAGTTTGTTGATCAGAAAAATTGGTAGTTTGGCGGTTCAAATCCCTAGTGCTGCGTAACGCAGTGAGCTCCTGTTACTTGTCCCAGCTTCTGCCAACCTAGCAGTTCGAAAGCATGTAAAAATGCAAGTAGAAAACATAGGAACCACCTTTTGTGGGAAGGTAACAGCTTTCTGTACACCTACAGCATTTAGTCATGCCAGCCACATGACCACGGAGACATCTTCAGACAGCGCTGGCTCTTCAGCTTGAAACGGAGATGAGCACCGCCCCCTTGAATCGGGAACAACTAGCACGTATTTGCAAGGGGAATCTTTACCTTTATACCTTTTATAGGGAATTTGGTGGTGGTCGGATTTTTTTATTGCAACATCTGAGGTCAGGGCTGATTTTGCGTTTTGATTTGAGCATTTCAGAAATGAAGATAACCACAGATTTTCTTCATAGTGGTTCTGGAAGTTTGGCGAGTGATGGTATGAAAATGTGATCAAATTACTTTGTATAGTAGCAATGTTACATATCGCTAGGTAAGATTATGAAATCTATATAGGAATCATTTGTTGATTTAACCTGAGAAGTATTAGGGTTAGAAATCAGTGCCAGATAATTTCATGTTTCAATATAACTTGTCTTCATCCAAACAAAATACTAAGAGCCTGTGTGGGAGTCAGGCGGAACAACATACTCAGACTGGGTGTCATAGAAACGAATTAATGGTTACCATGAATCTATTTTGAAATCACATTGACAGAACCTCCATTAATTTCTATTTTGAGCAGCTTTATTGGGTTTGGAGAAGGATGACATAGCAGAAGAACATACAAGGCTGAATTTGATCATAATGGAACTGAGACTGTATTCTTATATAACTGTATTTACAGTTCTTTTGAATAATATATAGCATCCTTACTGAATACTATATGGTTGCTTCTCTTCCCCGCTTCCCGATTTACATTTAACACACTGGATGGAAATATATTTTCTGCCAAAATTAAAATATAAGATTACACATCTGTCCAGTATTTATTTATCTATTACATTTATTGGCTGTCCACCTTA